CCCCGTTGCCATGGAAACAGGAAATTCAAGACTGAAAGCTATGGTCCAGTGAATATTTGTGCCAAGTGTGATCATTATTGAAGCATTTTTATAGTTTCATAGCAGTAAAAGGTTGCGAGACTCAATTTCAGAATACGAGTCTTGGTCATTAAGTTGAGAGAATGACGGGAGAAATTTTCATTTGATTAATTGCGGGATATAATAATATAGAAATATAGATTCACGTGATTATCATGGAAGTCACATTATATAGGTAAAGAAGGAACGCATTATATTGTGGCAGCCACAAGCCAAAATCAAGAATGGAAGCCCTGATAATATAAAGAATCGGCTAGTTCTTACAATAATCAAAAACAAACTTTAGACGAGAACTTCTCAAAGTTATGTGAGAAATTGCCGTGTAAATACTAACTAAGAAGTGGTATTTTAAAAGACGTGGTTTGATTTTGTTTGAAGGAACATTTCTTCTATTTTTGCACAAATTGATCTTTATAAAGAAATAACCGATTGTAACGAACTGAGATTAATGTTATAGTGATAATTAAGATGGTATTTTCAAGGGGAGATTACTTAAAAAATGTAAATGTTCACTGTACTATTGTGATTATCTTTCTACTCAACACTGAAAATACAAAATTACTTCAGGCTTTACTAAGATATAATCTTACCTTGACCGCAATTTCTTGTTATCTTATGTTTACTGACTTCGGGGGATTTTACAGTAAAACTATTTGAAATATATCAAGCAGTGAGCATCAAATATCTTGTGTTTTCACCTTTTCTAGGAATCACATATTTGATGATTTTGCGCAGGTATGGTCTTATTTTACTTTGTTTTTCCAATTATTTCAAAACATCAACATCCTTTATTTGAACAGGGTAACATGGAATGTAAATTGTTTGTACAGAAGAAGGATAACATATTAAATGATAAGAAAACTATTTAAATAATATATCCTGTATGATAAGTTAATCCATTCTAAAAGCTATCGGATAGTGTGATAATAACAACGGTGGTTTTAAAATGTTATTTAACAGGTCTTGCAAAATGCAACAAGCACATTTGAGCGTTTATACTGCTATAAATTGGCTGACGCACCCTAGTAAATTCCTTGTCGTCCCTGCATACCGCACGGTATTGGCCGTTGCCTGAGCCACCAGGCTAGGGTTATATAGCAAACAGTTACGCATCCCATAAAGTCAGCGTTACGAAATAATGATACTGCATCATTTTTTGCACGTTGAAATGATAATTACTTTACTACATGCAAATGTCGTCCATACAGATTATATAAACGGCATCATTATCAAAAGAAAGTCAACATTACAAACATGCTTCGTAATGAGTATAAGCAATTGTAAAATTTGTTACTGAAACTTTCCCGATTTATTTGAACAGCAGCTTTAAATTGTATAAACCTGAGGCCATTTAAATCTTTTAACATATACTAACTAAGAAAATTGTTATATAGTTGCTTTCTGTTAAAATGATTATTGAATACCATATTCAATTCCTTTACATGGTTAATATGGTCCCATCGACAGTCACGTCATTGATACTAATACATTGTATAAGTTCGGAAAAAAGAAGGTTTGAGTACGGTGGAGGCCGTTGCTCGGACGCGTGAGGGATGTTGCACTTGTTCATTATCACTCATGTAAAGACTCAATCAAACCGAGTCTGCAATTTCATGTTATTTTGCTGTTTTTGATGCTTCCGAGGGATCTTTTTTCAGATATTGATATAAAGACAAACAGTTCTCTTCAGACAAAGAAAAATATTTTAACGATCTTAACATTCATGGGTTGTTTATAAAATTTGTAGAAAATGGCGCGCTCGGTTACTCGTGCATATGAAAATAATGTCAGACCGTATTAAGTTTCTTCACCTTTTTGTAAAATGACATCAATTTCAGCATAATTTGCATTTAAATATGTCAAATTACATATTAATATAATGTTCAATATATATGTGTTAAGCACTTTTGTATATTTACCAACTAATCACTATTTCAATTACAATCACTGACCATTTAACCACAAATGGCAGTGTTGTTTCTTACATCGGCCGTCACAAAATTATGTTATATCCGAATATGATTACCACATTTAACAACAACAACAACCACCACCGTATTATTCTTTCACTTAACTGAAACTATCAACAATTATAAAATTGCAGACCTTCCATTGCAGACCAATTCCCTTAAATTGCTTTGCATATGCGTGTGTTCTTGTGTGCCTGTTGGTGTTATCATTTCTAAAGTTACTTGAACAGTTTTTATTACAATATTCAGTAAACTGACTTAATTTTAAATGCTATTACATGTACACTGTAAAACGTTTGCAAATAGATCCAAAGGTATCCTTTGTATAATTGTGGTGTAATCAGATGTGACTCTCGTCAGATCGTTATAACTTTCGGTTGGATGATTTCATAAGTTTGGTGAATAATTTGTGTGAAAGCGTTCCGCATGTGCAAAATTTACCTTTTGTAAGGTGATGTACAAATATACAATTTTACCCGTTTGTAATTCATTTGAAAATATTGTAAATTTTACCATTGTTACAACAACAAAACTTTTCTAGAGCTGGTGATGGATTTATAGCCAATTTTATCCTGTACTCTAATTGTTGTGTCAACACATTTTTTGTCGTATATGTTTTAGATACGATTTTTTACAAGAATGTTTGTTATAAGAAAATGTACATCTTCATAATTTTACAACAATAAAAACAAAGACCTACGCAATAGAATGGCCGTAATATTATTGGAAACAGTACAGTCAAATGTGAATGTAATTTTAACCCATTACTTGGTATAGACGTCTTTTCAAGCCCCCCCCCCCCCTTGAAGCCTTAAATAGTGAAAAAAATGCGCTATTTAGACCTCAAATTTGAGAAATGGTGTTAAAAAAGTGATCACTTTTTCGTCGCCATCCCCTATCAAATAGATACATCGAGGGATGCAAGAGGGGGGGGGGGATGTGCCCTCTTCTGTTTGGGGGTTTGAATGGGGTCGGCAGACCCCTTCATCTCCAAGAAAATTTTGGACTTGTGAGAGGCTAAAAATGGCCAAAGGTCGACCTTAAGGTAACGTGTAACCAACGCTGAAAAGCCTTTGACACTATATCAATCCATTGAGAAGTTGCAGCACTTTAAAATCAGTTTTGATGGGAAAATCAACGCAAAATAGTGATTTTTAGCAATTTTGAGATGTGGTAACAGGACATTGAAGATTAAGTATGCGGTTACAATTAAAGGCTATGGTTCAGTCAACATTTGTGCCAAGTTTGAACGGTAGTGAAGCCTTTCTTATAGTTTCATATCAATTTGAACTTTTTCAATGAAAACAGACATTTTTCACAAAATGCTCATGTAGTAATGGGTTAAAGAGAATGGCCTTTGATACCGCCATGTCAAGTCAACGTAGCTGTTCAGTTGCACACGGTGCAGTGTTTGTTTAATGTCGATATCAAATCTAGCTTTTCTTAAGAAAGTTTATATATTTGTGACCTGAGTGTCATTAAAAGGGTATAAATAAATTCAGTCAACAAAGATACGATTGAAAAGTTGGCCTTGAAAGAAGTAGTCTGGCAGTTTTTTTATGCATTGCAATAAACTTGGGATGTTGACACTGTGATTTGTTATGGTTTCTTAAACCGTGGATTGTCTCTGTAAGTTTGAAATTACATATCCCTTCCCTTTTAATATAATATAATTACGAGTATAACATTTTTATAATACAAATGAGCCACGTCACGACAAAACCAACATTGTGCGTTTGCGACCATCATGGATCCAGACCAGCCTGCGCATCCGCGCAGTCTGATCAGGATCCATGCTGTTCGCTATCAGTTTCTCTACTTGTTATAGGGTCTGTAAGCGAACAGCATGGATCCAGATCAGATTGCGTGGATGCGCTGGCTGGTCTGGATCCATGCTGGTCGCAAACCCATTATGTTGGTTTTGTCGTGACACGGCTCAAATACATGTAAAGATTTATAATTATATTTTAGGCTGATTATATGCCCATTGAAATAGTGAAAGTGCTACCAAAAGTATGTTATTTGAAAAGAAGAAGAAAAAACAGCAACAAACAAAAAACATTTTCGTCTTTAATCCCTAAACCTGGGACATAATGTAATGTTACTAGTATTATGTTCATTTATTTATCGCTTTGAATTTTTTTTTTCAAATTAACCATATAAAATAGTTTCCATTCATTCATGTAAAATTGCTTTATACTAGCTGGAAAAAAAACTTGGTTGTCCCGGGCCTCCGGTTTAAAGTGGCCGTGTGATTGGTAATAATTTGATTTCATGTACCTAAACTAACATGCTGTGTAATTCATTTTGAGACCAAGGGCAAAAGGCTGAGCAAAGACGTTTTGTTTAGTTTTTTTTTTAATTTTAACAGTTTTCAACATTTAAAAAATGATTTCGGAATACTGAATGATACAACATTGTACAATATTAACTTTACTGTATTAGTGAATTCACTCTCAACTTTAGATTTAAGTTTCCAGATTTTGTCAATGTAATACAGGTATAAAATGTATTGGTACATTGTAAGAGACAAGATGAGTGGTCATATGGTTCTAGTAGTAAAATTATAGAATGTATTAAAGCTGCACGCCTCCAGATGAGCAAAAATGTTTCGATACAATCAAACCTGAGAAAATGTACTAAGATTTTAGGAGAGATATAAAGATTCAAAATTCTAGGAAAAAAATTATGTTATGTACGATTATTGACCAAATTTTTCAGTATTTATAACTACATGTATATTTCTACTGCGTTACTAAAGCAGTTCGGGCTATTTTTGCATATTTTGACCTCTTTATAGTAATTAACATAGGTTGTTAGTGCCATTGATAATGTGTAAATTGCTTTCATTTGGTAACTTTACTTAAATACATTTTCAAATTTTCATGAAAATTTACATGAATCTGGAGGCGTGCTGCTTTAAGGAGAAAGGATAACAATTCTAGCACAATGACCTTTACAAACACAATATACTGTGATATCAAATTGTGACAACTTTAACACACTATTTTAAAAAGATGTTATTCAAACCAGGATTGATAACATTTTAACAGAAATATAAACTACGAAACTTTTTAAAGAATCAGTGTAAATCATGATAAACAATAATGTCCATTATTTGTTTCAAGGTGTTTTATAAATAAACAGGTATGTTATTGTAACAGGCCTAATATTACAAACAAGCAGCACTATACATTACCACACTTGAAATCATTATAAACATACCAACATAAAAACGTATAATGTGAAGACGTTAAAATAGAAGAATTTTTTGTCTGCTTGTATATAACTCGATGTAGATGGATAAAGGGACGAAATGTATATTTTATAAACATTAACATAGTCCCTGGCTCATTCTCATAGGGACAACAATAAACGTGATACAGTTTGAGAAGAAAACACACAAACGAAATACTTTGCAAACTTAAACGTTTTTCGTGTCGTTGTTCAAGAGTGCTGCGGTTACTATGGGCACGGTTTGGCAGCAGTCTGTTAGTGGATATCCGTTATCTTCGTTACTATCTTCATGTAATAGATCTTCTCCTTCCACGACAACTTCATGTTTTATAATACCTCCTGTATTTTGATGTAGTTTTGAGATTAGTATAGGTCTGATGAGTAAGTGGGCGATTCCCGAACCAAATACAACTGATATAAATAACCACACGTTCATTGTCATTACACATAACATTGTCAGGTAGGCAAGGATTACAGACATCAAGTGAACAATTGCCCTCACAAAATGGTTCACCTTTTCTTTTCTGAAAAACAATTAGAAGAATAAAAATCTGGAGGTGATGATCCCTCGGAAGCATAAATCACAACAAATTTACATGAAAATTGCAGACTCGGTTTGATTGATTGACGAGGGATAAGTAAAAAGTGCAACGGTACTCAATTTTCAACACTTAAAAGTGCTGGAATCAATGATCCCGAATATGACAACACTGAAGCTACATAATTTCTAAACTCGTGTTTTGAGACAGCATAATTTAAGTGCCTTTTATAGTTTTGTAAATAGTTTCAACTCAATGACGAAAACTACTTGACCACTGACATAAATTGATCGACACAATAAATTCTAAAGAATTAGAAGTCAAGTCAGTTGTTTTGAATAAATCAGCTTTATTAATATGTTACATAAAGTTTAAAACTTGTGATAATATTTACCTCTTTTGAGTTGTTTTGTCTTTTAAATCTCCCTGCCGAAGCTCCCATTGATGCAAAACAACCTTTAAAACATCGTGTGATACAGTTATCACTATAGTGAAGATCATTGCAAGGATGATTCCTAAAATAAAACACTACATTTTGACAATGTACCTTCCAAATAGTATATACTAGTAAAATTAATAATGGACGTAAGAAAACCAGCGTAACATTACTGGACTGAATAACCACTGTGCAAAATTCTGGGAAGGAGAAATCTCTCTCGAGAGAAAAGAAAGATAAAACATATTGAAAACAGCAGGATACTCGGTTTAAATTAGACAGTGTTCAGTTTCACATGTCCCATGCAAATTAGAGTCAGCTCAAGATGCATCCAATCCTCTACATTAACAGTTTTGGAAGCAATTATCACGAAGGACCGGAGACCTATTAAACATTTTACAGCACGCACACAGAACTTGACACCTAGTACGGTTGTAAGCATACAAAATACCAGGGAGCAATAAAAAGCAAAAAGCAAAATTTTGGTGTTTACATTGCGACTGAAATGCGTCAATCAGTGGTAACCCTGGAAATATGCACGGACTTTCAATTTGGAGATCCCGTAATCCTTGGTTAAGCCAAGTAATTTATATCAACAATTAACGTAAAAGCCGAATTAAAAATACACGTGGACCGCCATAAAATCGTAGCGGCAGTACCTACTGGTAAAAGTGATAATATCAGTTAAATTTGAAAATCAGATAATTCAATATGGAGACCGATGTTTCAGTTTTTTAAATGAAGAATTCACAATTTCGGGCACAGCTGACATCTGCCTAGTTCCAGTTACATTTAGAAAACTAGCTGGATAATTTCCCTATGCTACGTCCTGGTCGGGACATAATCTTAAAGCCGCGCCATGACAAAACCAACATAATACGTTTGCAACCAGCATTATGTTGGTTTTGTCATGGCGCGGCTCAAATGTATTCCGAAAGAAACATAAAATTCCATAAAAGATGTTTACCTCCAACACATGCAATGCTGACATCTTCTATAAGAAAATCTGTTTCTGTCAGCAGGGAAAACTAAATAATGTAAAGAATAGATAGCATCAATATACAAAGTAAAGTAATAACGAGATTGAAAATAAAAATAATTGCATGTAGTATATAAGATTGAAAGGTTTTTGTGTTGACAAGATGCAATACTGAAAGTGTACATTGTATAAAGCTATATATTTGCTGTCTATGGATTAAACAATTATTGTTTATATTTCATATGTGTATGCCCTTGTTTTAATAGTCTTCGAATGCAGTATCTTAAAAAATGTTATTATGTTAAACCATCTGTGTTTAAATTTATAGATCTACTTTCAACGCAAAATAAAAGTATATAATTAGGTTATCAAAATATATCCAAGAATCTTTATCGTTGAGAAACGCAATCATTAAGTCTTAACAAAACTGATTTGTAATTATCATCTTGCATAAAGTTTGTCCTTTTTAATCATTGTTTACTTATGTTTTCGTATGCCATGTGACTATGTTTAATCAAATCTTTTGTTAAACAAGACGATGTACCTATGTATAAGTCTGTAAATAAAATTCTGTTCTGTTCTGTTCTGTTCTATATTGTGATTATAAATTTATAATAACTACAGAATACCTAGACGGGTGTTACATACACAAAATTATCTCCAAACATAATAATAATAATATTATTTTGTTCCGGAACATTTTATTCTGTTTACGTATGATATTCATGTATATTACATAACATAGACATCCAATGTCACAAATCTTTAAAGTAATGACCATAACAACAGAACTTTACTATTTTTAAAGTTTTCATATATGGTTAGGGGCATGAGTTTTTGGGTCAAGTAATATAGTTCAGTTTATATCATTATACCGTCATAAGTCATAATTTATACGACTATACCTCCAGCAGAGCTATTCAAAATGTGTCTACATACGTCTGTAAGAAAACACTTTTAAATAACCGTTACCTTCCAACAGCTAAAATATACGAAGCCCTACTTTGGTCACTGAAAGGACACCTATTGACATGAAAGGTTTTTCCCTATAAGTCTTGTGCGGCCCTTCTGTATTGTTATAGATAAAGAACAGAACAGAACAGAACAGAAGGTTTATTTAGTCGTATGCATGGTACAGCATATAGACATATACAAAAATATATACATACATGTACATGGCAATAATATTCTTATATAAATACACATTTTATCATATCATATTTACGAGAGTGTTGTATTTTAAACACGGTTAAGTAACTCTTGCCGTTTGTTAAATGCCTTTAACAAATATAATGCGATATTATGAAGTAAACGTTTGTTCTCTGTTTTCATAAGTTCAACAAATTTCATCATACTAGGTCTCTGCCTATAATATTTTGGAATAAATTTCATACGTAAATCTTTAAATATGTTACATTCCAGTACAAAATGAAATTCATCCTCAATTGTTAGCTTATCACACAATTCACATAGTCTATTTTGTCTCTCAATATTCCTGTGTCTTCCATATTCGATATTAAGACAATGCGACGACATTCTTATTTTTGATATTATTTGTCTGTGTTTGAAATTATTTATTTTCATAAGATACACAGATAACTGTAGACCCTCTTTCAATTCTCTAAACAAAGTCAAACTTGGGCTATTATCCATTCGAATTCTACATTCTGTAATAAAATTGTCAATCAGTCTAGTTTTCAGTACGTGTAAAAAATACATTCATATTAACAGATGTTGGAAATAGCCAAACTTCAGCTAACCCTAATTGAGTCAGTAACATTTTAACATTATATAACCAATTTTTTTCACCATTTTCACAATCAAACAACAGTTTCTTATATATGTTCTCTAAAATACAATTTTCACTTTTTACTATTTTCAACCAGTATTTTACAATACGGATTTTCCAGTTTACATGCAATGGAAATCGGCCTGTTTCAACATAAACAGCAGCATTACAAGTTGACATTTTAACATTTAACAGTCTCTTTAGGAATTTTCTATGAAGTCTCTCAAGACATTCTGCATTATTAAATCCCCATATCTCACATGAATAACATAATATAGATGTCACATATGCGTCAAATAAATTGAGTTTAATTTTCACCGGTATTTCCATACCCTTCGTTATCGTATGCAAGGAGTTTACAGCTTTCAATGCTTTGCCAGACAGAGTGTCTATACCACGTTTGAATAGTCCATTACTAGAAACTACAAATCCTAGATAATTAAAACTGTCAACAATCTCTATATCATTCCCAAAGTATGTCCAGTGTTCATTTGAATGCAATTGTCCTCTCTTTTTAAATACCACGATTTTCGTTTTGTTCGTATTTACCGTTAATTTCCAACGCCTACAATAGTCATATAATAAATCTAGATGCGATTGCAATCCTTCTGGCGTATCACTTAACAAAATACAATCATCAGCAAATAAAATAAGGTAAATGCATACGTGATCTAAGTTTACACCTGAGGAAATATTTTATTGTAAATGGATTTCTAGGTCATTAAGGAAAAATGAGAATAAAATCGGCGAAGTTATCTCCCCTTGAAAAAGTCCCATGTCACAAGAGAAGAATTCAGACAATGAGTTCATATGTTTGACACATGATTGTACTTCTTCATACATTGATCTCAATAATGTGAGCATTTTCCCACTAATTCCTTCTTTGATGAGTTTATACCATAGGCCATTTCTATAAATGCTATCATATGCTTTTTGGTAGTCTATAAAAGCTGCATATAAACGCTTGTTTTTAGTATTGTACATATTGATTAGAGACTGTAAAATGAACAAAGCATCAGTGGTGCTGTGTCCAGATCTAAAGCCAAACTGCGCATCTGTTAGACGTTCATTGTCTACTGACCACTTTTTTAGCCTTTCGTTTAACACGGTTGTAAACAGTTTACCAAAGCAACTTGTTAATGTTATTCCACGATAGTTATTTGTATCCGACGCCGGCGGCTTTTTCAATAATGGAACTATTACACCCTGTGACCATTTCTTTGGAAAATGTCCGCTGTTAAGAATGTCGTTGAATAAAATTTCTAATGAATCAATTACAATATCTATCGTTTCAATAAAATACTCATTTATCATACTATCTATAGCACTACTTTTATTTCTTTTTAATTTAGAACATGCTTTCCGAATTTCTCCCTGTGTTATAGGCAAATCAATGTCTTCTAACGGTGTTCCATTCCTCATATCATTCTGGTCAAAACTCTTCAAAAAATCCTCAACTTCCGGATTGACGTCATCGCTAGCCTCAGCTAGATTTTGGAAATGCGAGTAGAACTCTTCCATAGAGATATTTTCACTTGCATTTTTACTTTTAGTACGAAACATATTCCAGAATTCGCGTGGTTTTTTCCGCCTCATTTCATTCATTTCACTAGCACGTTTTAAATTAAACTGCCTCTTCGACTTTTTAACACAATATTTATAATCCTTTCTACATTGCTTCATATTTGTAAAATTTTCATTACTTTTTTCACATGTATATTTTTCAATAGCCTCTTTGTATGTCTGCAGTTTCCCGTTACACACATGGTCAAACCACTTATTTAATTCACGAGGTTTTCCGTTGAGAAAGTTTGATTTCTTCACAGACGGTGACGTTTTTTTTGAAATATTTTTCAGCTCTGGATACAATAAAATTCCGTGTATAATTGTGTCTTTTTATCAGTCGAATAATTCGCATTTTCCACGATATCATCGAGCACATTTTTATCCGAAAAAATTTCATTCCTGAATTGTTCTCTGAACTCCGGATTCCATTTATAGTATGTATTCTGACCATTATTTGTTATGTTATTTTGATGATACACTTTTAATCCAAATGAAACAGGGGCGTGATTCGAGTAAACGGTATAATTATGTACTTTAAAATCAACAATATATTCGAAGTTTATATAGCGGGTCAATACTAGATCAATCATGCTTTCTCCGTTATGCGTCATACACGTCATGTTTCCGTTATCACCGGTTGACCTTGATCTCCCGTTGACCAAACAGATATTTACCGCTTTACACAGATCAAGGATCAAATCCCCGAAACGGTTATTTTTATAGTCCATTGAGCGTCTGGGACATGGGGTATCGTTTAAGATTTGATTTAAGTCTAAGTCTGTGATTGATTCATTTTCTATAAAATCACACTTCTGCCCAACTCTACTGTTTGTGTCTCCAGCTACAATCACGCGTCCACATTGTGAAAATTTTGTTATATCCTGCTCTAGTTTTTGGAATATATCAACATTATAAATATCATGAATAGGTGAATTTTCAGGCGCAATATAAACTGAAGCTACATACCAGTCATCATCCGTTTTGAAAAAATGTTTATCTAGTTTAATCCATACAAGACAATCAATTTGATTTTCTACTAGTGTAATTCCATTTTGCAATGATTCCTTCACATATACAATCAATCCGCCACTCGCTCGCTTAGCTCGTCTATTTTGGAACTTTCTATACGAATGAAATGTTACATATCCTTCAATGTCTATGCAAGATTTTGCAGTTGTCCATGTTTCTGTCAAGCAAATTACATCATAATTAGATATAAATTTCGAAAATTCTTCACATGATTGCTTATAGGTGGTTAATCCTTCTACATTCCATGAAAGCACCTTTACCACACTCTCTTGTAGCTCCTATTGCTCACTTCCGGTACCATTTGGCACCTTCTTAACACCATCCACTATAATAAGTCTGTCGTATTTCAGATATGCCGTTTTGCCCGCTTTCCTAGCTTTTTTCATCTCCGGAACCAATTCTCTACGTCGTTCCTGAATATCTTTGGGAAACTGTTGGCTAACGCCTATCTCCTTTCCCTTTAAATTTCCGCAGGATAAAATAGTATGATTTTATATTCTCGCAAGAAACTTTTGGCGCAATTCAAAGTTACTTTAATCATTGTGAAAATCAAACTGTAAAAATCTTCGCGATGATTAACTTTAATTTTCGCATGTTTCTTTCGAGACCTATAGCTAATTTACAGTACCAGTGACTATAGTGAAAGTGTTTATAACTTGTATGTTTCCGCATGCCATGTGACTATATTAAATCAAACTTTTTTTAACAAGACGATGAACATATGTATAAGTATGTAAATAAAATAATGTTCTGTTCTGTTACAATATATTTCAGTAAACTAGTCAATGCCCTTATTACCCGCTTATTACCCGCTTTAATTTACCATACATCTATTAACGTTTAGATGTGAAATTTGCACAATTGTGCGAAAACATGATAAATTTGTTCGTAGTTTTCAAATTTTAACCGCTTTAAAACAAAATAGCAAATCATTTTAGTTATAAAGATTACATTTGATATAAATGTATAAAATTGATAAATGCCAAAATCCTCTCAAACACGTTAAAGGTAAAAATTGTTAACCCTGGTTGAAATGTAAAGCCAAAATTGTTCAATTGTATCTGACATTGTATATATGTTTATTGTACACATAACCTGTCTATTTTAAAACTACAAGTGTCAAAAAGAGATTAACCTTATTTAAATAAGTAAATGAATTATGAACAGAAGGTCACATATACTACCTAGTTCTTTCAAGAAATGTGTCAATATATTATTTAATCGAACAAACATAATCATACGAATTATAAAAAAAAGATCGCTACTGTATATAGCATTTTGTTTCCTCTACAAAACTACGTTTATGTTATGATAAAAAAACGTATTTCTCTTCGCAATATAAGTTCAAATGCTACGGCAAACATAAAGCATTTTTGCTGCGTCATTGAAAAATACAAAACAAAAAAATATAGTAAGGTTTTAAGAAAAATGAAAAGGTGAGGGAAATCAGTTAATTCAATTTTTTTATGTATTATAATGGACACGCAACTTCAGTAAAGTATGTCAATAGGGACAATGTGATGCAGACACCGGTTTACATGCCCGATTATTAACTATGTAGAGGTTATTTCATAGGGCAAGTGTGCCTTTAGTCCATATTGGCAGACTTGTTGACTTATTTGCCCGAGGGCTTTAGATGGCCGTTGAGAGGACGTTGGAATCTTTGGCGTATCGCTTGATGGATTTAGATAATCTCATCGAACAACAAAGACAGCCAGCTGACACTTAATAAATATATTAGAACAATTACGTTATTGCTTAATATTTTTCCAGTCTGAAAAATTGCTGCGGAACATGTGCAATAAACAAATCATTACATGGGGCAAGAATGGGTTCAAATTTGCCCTCGGGCAAGTAAGTCACCGAGCGTGCCAATATGGACTTAAGGCACACTTGCCCCATGTAATAACCTCTACTTATAGTAACATATGCAATAATCATTTCTATCATTTTATATCTTCCTGTTCCGCAGACTCATGACTGGTACATTTGTATTTTTGAAATTAGGCAGAACAAGTGATTTAAACAACTTTGGGTAGGGAGCTACTCGTTTATGATAAGTGCGCGAGACAGTTTCTCTTTCCGCAGACGTCTTGTAGAAAAAAAACACAGTTAAATTATCGGTCATATAACATTATGTAGGCCAGACTGTACTTGAGATAACGCCTAATATTGCAATGTTCTGTCTTGATGTTGTATAGGAGATAAAGATATGTTTGTGTTATTAAAGCAATTGTTCAGAATGTACATACCGTGTTAGTGTGCATCTGCATATTATGCATATTGTGACCATTAGAACTGTCACGTGACCCGTCCATCATGTTGTGTTTATGGTCCACATCAATAGCGTCAAACTCGTGATGTGATGGTACATGGTGATGTACGTGGCTCTCCATGGCAACATCATCATATTTAAAGCTGTCAACGCCTGCTTTCATATCCATTTTACCAATGATTCTGTAAAATATAATTTCTCCGTGAAAGAATATTTTAATACACAAACCGCCACAAAGTAACTTTAATATTAGTCCTTTCAAATGGAAACTACGTTCATTCCAGCTGAAAATTTCATTGTTTTTATTTGAAACAAAAATGTGATCTTTGGTATTTAAATTTGTCATCAATTACAAATATATCCATTTCATTGTGCACGTGCATGAATGTCTTGTTTAAGCTAGACTGTACTTGATGTTATCTTAAGTATAAAAACAGATTAATGTCAAATTTATAAAATTATTATCTTACTATACACTCAACAAATCCTGCAATCAGACAAAAGTACTGCATGTTGAATTATATTTAAAAATGAAGTGCCCTACATAATCGAGAGCGCTTCTAGTTGGCTGATAATGATAACAAGGAATTGAGTTCAACTTGACAAGACTATACGAGACGATACGAGGCATGGAAGGGAAGTGACGGGACGGGACGATACTAGAAGGGAAGGCAAGGGAAGGGACGGGACAGGACGAGACGAGACAAGACGAGACGAGACGAGACGAGAGAAGAGAAGAGACGAGACGAGACGAGATAAGAGAAGAAGTGAGGAGAGGAGAGAACTTAAATGACATATTTATAATAACAGTTGGCGGTCTTAACCGATAGCTGGATAGCTTCCTCACATGAGAAAAATCCAAAGTCTCTGACTGGATTCGAACCAGCAGCGGTGAGGGATTTTATGTGGTGTTCATTCGGCGAAATATTCTAAAATCTTATAATGACATAAATAGATGTTATTATAAGGATTCTAACACATTTTGATAATGTAAATATTTGAAATAAATCATCCAATATTTAAACAACGCCCAACCCTTCAATGACTTGAATCATGTTGCCTTATATAAGTAGTCAAACGGATGTAAATATTTATACCAATATTCAAATTTCTTATTCAAATTACCAAAAGCAACTCTATATACTCAATTCAATGATTTTAAAATATTTGAAATAAGAATCAGGGAAATTAAAAAACTATACACTGAGAAAGTAACAAAACAATATAAGATAATCAAGGAAATTCGCACAGATAGTTGAGATTGGCAAAATGTAACCGATTCAACATATCACATTATGATCATATATAACCTGTATAATAATGGCGGGCAGCAACCAAGTATAACTTGTAAATAAAATTATAATTTAGGTTATGCAAAAAAAAAGTTTAAGTAGACATGACATATTTCAACAAGATGCAACGAGCAAGGTAAAATAGCAGAATATGACGGAAAGTAGACATTGCTAAATATACCAATTGTCTTAATGAAGAAGCTGGACGTATGATCACTACATACACAACTTTGAAATAAACCAAGCTTCTGTTACGAATAGTTAAAATTAAAATAAACAAAAAATCATTAGCTCCGGATCTGACAGGGTTTTGGTTAACTCCGAGATTATATAGGATTATAAATAGACGGCTTAATGTATGTAGTTTTCATTTTCTCTGTCCAATCCCTAATGTAAACATATTCCAAACAACCCCCACCTCATAACTTTACACTTTTATAATAATAGGATGATAAAAATTTTCGATTTTGCAATGACTTAAAATAACGTTTTTATATTTAAAACAATAACTATTTTTCACCTACCATGACCGCCTTTTTAAAGTTAAATCATATTTTTTTAAAAAACAGAATGAAACAGTACGCTATCTGTCAAGGTTATATTAAACAAACAAAAATGCTTTTTAGATAATATATACTTGCAATTTCTAGCTTCATTTAATCCGTTATGATAAACTCTTGAAAGTAAGTCAAATGAGCGTCATCATATACCGAAAAACTGTTAACTTTAAACGCTTTTAAAGTTTATTATTACAAAGTTTGCTCCCCTTATGGAGCAGCATGTAACAATCGATTTACTTCAATGTAAGTGCTGTCTTACCCCGTGAACACGAATAAGTTTCAATAGCACTAAAAACGTTTTAAAATGTATGCGTACTGAATATATAATAAAATATTTCAGTTTTTATAATAATGGGTATAAATTAATATCTTGCATTCTGATTGGCTAAAACACTTTGTATACTATGCCCTATATATAATGTTATAAACTTAAAGTATGCTCAAATTTAATAAAACTAAATATTGAAAATTGCTACACTGTATCTTTGTAAATGTAAAATAAACACATTTTTACTTCACATACACAGTAGAGATATGTTATATTTAAACTATTTACAAACTATTGTGGTTACAATTTAAATATCATTAAAAAGACTGACAGTTTTTTTAAGAAAGGACCAACTTTACTTTACTTGTAATAGGGAATGCAGCTGCCACATATTAATTCTTTTATATTAATTAGACATATTCAGTAAGAATGCCATATATTTCAATAATGTTCTGTGATTAAAATGTATTACTCAATGATGAGCATAGTATATCTTTAAGTAATACTTGAAGGAGTATATTACAATTCATGAGATTAATCAACTAATATTTAAAGCAGGAAAGATACGCTGACCTTTTTTCAGATCAGTTTACAATCCACGATAACAACGATTATAAAACACAACTAGCTATTTTTCTTGTTGCGTCAGAAATAGTCAGAAAATTTAAACAATACAACGTCCTCTTTCAGGGTTAAATATAGAACCTTCCGCTACAAGCGTCATTATGTGCGCTATTTTAAGAGCATTTTAACTTACAGAGTCACAATAATTCATTCGGGAGTTCATTGGTGTTTATATTTATTCTATTTCAAACTTATTATTAAACATAAACTTTTAGGGGCTGGCCATCGTCAAAAATGTTCTAAACTAGAATGACTGTAAATAGCGTAACCGATCCTTTAATGTAAATTTCCTGCCATTTTTTCTGCACCACAATTTATTTTCTTTCAGATACTTTTTAGTAAATACTTTTTACATCTTTTTATAGTAACCCATTTCCCATTTAACCGCTTATAAACGGACCATATCCGTGTATTGTAAAACTCTTTACATTTTATTCATATAGCGTTTTTTATGTGCATTTTAACTCGGTCAAATATCTTACTTGATATTTAAAGTTTCATGTTTCAGTAAATGAATCAATCAATCATTATTTTAATGCTTATCTCGTACGAACATATAATTCGAACATAAAATCTCTTGAAACTATATATATGTATGATATACTCAACACTATTTACAAAGAAAATGACATTGCTACAATGAAACCAAATTTTTGTTCAGGTCAAAGAGAACATCATCGTTAGCAAGAGAATATATGCAGTATGGTTTCATTATTTGCATATTTATGTAATTTCCGATGGTATTTCTGCCGACACGCAAGAAAATATCCGGTTTTGAAAAATAAGACAAAAGAATTTTACGCGGGTCGAGTTCAGATCGTGACCTTGTATATTTTTGGTTTTCGGTTCTCACATCAAATTTAAATATGTGCCTAATTCAGTTAGTTTGGTATGAAGGAAATATGTTATATAGCAAAATGAATATTGTTTATAAAATCGACCGAAAGTTACGAACACGGCGGCTTGTTGAACCGGACTTTCGTGCGTTTTGTGTTATTAGCCCATTGAGTTACATATACATGTATATTGTCTATACATCCCAAAACAAAACTTCTATAATGTTTTCATCAAGATTAATTTTGGTATATGCTGATAGCCTGTGATATCTGGTATAGTGTACAAAATTACTGTATTTACTTTCATATTTAACTATTTAGTTAGTTACTTGACTGTAATGGACAGAAAAACTGTGCTTTATAGTCCAACATATCAGTGATTTTGGCAAAAGAAAATACAAAAAAATACGGAAACATTTTAAATGAAAAACCTCGAATTATGCAAAAACAGACAACATTGGTGGCCAGTCAGCCAACAGAACCTTTGAACTACCTGTTGATTAATCCCAGTCAATATTGGCATATTTCCCAGTTAGGCATTTACCAATTTATTTAACTGAACGGAAGTCCCAGTAAAAGATAATTATTTCTTATCAATTTTGTGTTAGTGAAGATTATAGTTGTATAAAATGTAATCTACCACAGAGCTGCAAGAATTTGTTCGTTATGTTGGTAAATATACACCAAATTCTGCTGTGAATAGTGATAGAAATGTATATTATATATCAGAGGTGCAGACTTGTCATAGGTTAAATAGAAAAGTTTTTGAGTAGTCATATTTATGAAAAGGTCAAAATCGTAAAAGTGGTAACATGTTTGAAAAATAGTATATGTATAAGTGTATGGAAGGGATTATCCGCCAGTTCACCTATTATGCTTTATGACATTCCAATTTCCATTTTTATCTTTTGCGATAGTGAATTTGATGTTAGATTTTGGTTATTTTCAAGACTTAGTGTATTTCGTATCTTTATAATTATAAAGGTATTTTGAAATATATCTTTGTTATACGTTAATTTTATTTTTATACACGTTTTTCTTGTTTCATTCTGAAAATTGGTATGATTTCCCTTAAAATATATTTAATACATTTTAATTCAAAATCACACATTAAAATCAACATTAGGTATTCAGTGTATGGACGCTACCGAATATGTGTTAATTCATTTGTAATAAAATGTTCAACATTTAATCAAAACAATCGAAACATCAATTGCAGTATAAAATGCTGTTTAACATTGACTTATTAAAACAAAATCGTCGTCATAACAATGTTGACGTTATCAAAAATACGAAGCGGGGAACCAATTTTTGAACTGCGTTTTCTTACGACAGAGGTCGCTGTTTAATACTAACTGATCCCTTTTGGTGAGGACGTAAAAATCACCTCATGGAAAAGATCCGATCAAACATCGTGATACCCTGCCTTGAACAAAGCTGTAACTAGCTCTATATACAACAACAACGAACATGTTCTCTCTTGCATAATGCGCAACATATCATTTTTATTCTTTAAATCAACTCATTTTTGAAGATCTTTCAGAAAAGGTATGAATGTGGCGGATTTTGAGATATTTTGCCTCAAACTTGGCCTTTTTACTATACGTTATTTATAGGGGGAAATATTTGGCAGTTATTAACCTCCACATGATCGGATTAGTTTTCGTAGTATCAGTGAACACCGGTCAGGGAGCGGTTATTATTTTTACATTTTTACCAGTTATTCCCCGTTGATTTAAAAGGGCCAAGTCTAGCGCAGAAACCTAATTAATTTTGAATTATACCTCGAAACTCTTAGTGTGCTATGCAAACTGCTGTTTCGAATACATAATACACAATGTCAGCATGGGACTAAAATTACGATGATTTTTGTAAAATAAATACTGAAACACTGTAAGAATAAAATGTGTGTTAAATTAATTTTAGAAAGCAAATTCAAATAAAGGAAAAATATTTGAAAGCCAGCAAGTTAAATATTTAATTATAGTTTGCATGTTTACAGCCTTAGAACTGAAGTGTAAATTGAATGTTCGCATATTTCAATAAGAACTCATGTTACGTCAGCAAACACGAGGCTATCTGATTTGTACGAGGGGGCGTAGCCCCCGAGTATAAATCAGATTGCCGAGTGTTTTGGTGTTCTTTCTCTTTTGTATCATAGTCAAACATAAAAACACGTTCCCTGTTGTCACAATTTTAAACCCCGGGAAAAAGTAACCAATGATCGAGCATCTGAATATGATATTTCTGCCGCTTTCCCTTTCTCTGTCGTCACAATATGTAAACCCCAGCAAAAATGAGCCAATCAACGGGCATGATCTGGAGTGCGGGTAACTGATACCTGCACTCCAGTTACCGCACTGTGCATGTATATGTATACGATTTAACTCCGACACCTTTTCAACAGAAAGGTCCCCAAACTATGATACAACATCTTATTGTATGATAAATAGAATATTGTATTCGTGTAGATTCAAAACTAAATTTATTGAACTCGTTGAATAAAACAATATTATGCTCGCCAGAGGCTCGCTTAATATGATTTTATTCAACTCGTTCAATAAATTTAGTATTAAACCTACACTCATTCAATATCCTCTATATAAAAAAGGTTGTGGAAATAACATGAAAATCTGCGCCCAAGTTTATAACAAATGGTACACAACTATCGGGAAAATATAGTCCCATCATGTCGGAAAAACATAATTTTATGTGACGTGCTCAAATACGACAACTATTTTAGATAGTTCTTTATACCTCCAGCAAGACATTCACACGTCTAAACAATAACAAAGATATCAATAGCAAATAATGAGTGCACCCAGTGGAAATGTAGTGTATATCAAACATGTTAAACATAAGGTAATTAAGTACTAAATATTGTATAAAAGTTCGTGTAGTTCAAATCCTTGACAAAACTACTCCAATGTTTGTGCGACCCACAATTTTATGGTTGACTTACTAAAAACCAGTGAGATTTTACTTAACTAGACTAGCAACGATGTGTCTTTAAAAAGTAAATAATCGAAAAGGCAAAAATACTTAAAGGCCCATTATGTCTCAGAAAAGCTTTTATTTTTATTTCTCAAAAACTAGTTTAATTGGGTGTACTTTTATGGTAACTAAAAAATTACTAATTGGCCAATTAGCAGAACCATCTTTTTTATCTGTTGCTTTTTGGCCATAAGTACAGTTATTGTGAATAAGTATTATGAATGGAAGTCAAAATACTACTTTGTTTACCTTTTGCTACTTTAATGACGAATTATTTTACTTTTATTGCTACTTTCTTCAGGTAACAAGCATCTTAAGCTCTCTAAAACCATTATTTAAACATTATAAAAAACCCATGTTTGCCATTTAGAAAGTATCTGTTTCTGAGGCATAATGTACCTTTAAAGATATATTATGCTCAAATTGCTAAACAAATTCTTTTCTTTAATGTAAAACAAACTGTGTACATGTGTCATTGTATGTATCAAAACTTAATATTCTAGACCCCCCCCTTCTTTACTTCACTTTGTAACTTGTGATTTAAAACTTAATAAAAGCCACCAGAAATACTAACACCGACAACAATGTACTAGACAAACAGCTTATTTCCTGAAGGTGCGCCTTCATTAAAACGTCTTGTCTCTTTGAAGAAAATGTGTTTATGTTATTGACCAATAACCAAGTTTCTAAAAATTTTCTAAAAGTTTAATTTTTATTTATTTATTGAAGTCTCATATATGTACACACAGTATATTACAAACAATGTCATAAAAATGTACACAACCATTCTATTTAAGAATTACAAGAGACAAGAGAATTGTTCACACAAGAAACTACTTGTCGCTAGAATCAATTACAATATCAGAGGTTCGCTATCAGTTTGTCTACTTATTAAAGGGTTTGTAAGCGAACAGCATGGATCCTGATCAGACTGCGCGGATGCGCACGCTGGTCTGGATCCATGCTGATCGCAAACCCATTATGTTGGTTTTGTCGTTGTCGTTGTATGTACAAATTATAATCAGTAAAACAGAAATATCTTCACTTACCTAATTTCGGCGATGATTCAGGTTTTTCACTGCTGTATAAAATTATTTTCTTTCTCAGCACGATACCGGATTATACACCTTAATTCCGCATTTTATTTAATATTATTATAATATATTTACATGTATTTAAATTAGTTCGGGCATGGCTGAGGAAGTTAAACATGAAATAACCAATAATAAGCACGCAAAACGCGGCAATTCTTTGTGTGTATTTATAGAATGGTCTAGATCATCTTTTCTTGTAAACATTTCAAAATTGTTCCCTGTTACTATTTTAGATACACATCATACTGTTAATAAAGGCAAGGTTGTTGTAAATTATTGAGTTGTATCTTCCTGGTTCATTTATCAACCAATCACTGCGCACAAATAAATTTCTTAAAATATGAGTCATCAAAAGCTCAAAATGCATACCCGAGATTTAACGTATTTCATTATCAAAAAAGAAAATACATGTTACTGCTTTTTCGTCTATTAAAATATATACCAGTATATGCTTATTTCCTACCTTAAGTAAATCGGAGAAACACATAATATATCTTTTCATGCTTTAAATGCCAACCCCAACCCGATCTATTTTTCATTTATCTTGCTGAAAATCAAAGCGTCTGAAGGTGTGATTTTGAAAGAGATCATCAGCTTCATTGAACCATTTTCAAATTTACCATGTTGATTGGCCATAAAAACTTCAATTTTACAATTTCAAAACATTTTCAAGTTATCAGAACATGTATAGTTTAATATATACAAAAGGTCTTCAATCAACCTCAATTCAACTTAAATATGTGACAATATGCCCCATTTTTTTTTTCAATTAAATAACTATCAATTAGTATTGCGGGACAAGCCTATTGGTCGATCATGAGAGTACAGTTCAATGTAAGTGTACGGGTACCTATAATGGTTGATAAAAGTCTTTTATGTTAAAGACACACATGGTTCTAAATAACTTGCTATAAAGCTGAAATTAATATATCCATGTTTTCAAGGTATTATTCATTATGATAATGTCTAATTAAGAAATAATATCGGTCTAAGCGGCTATTTAACACCGGTTTGGAGTTTTGATGCGTATGAAATGACCACGAAGGTCGTAGGTCTGAGTGGCTAATTCTTTTCGCATCAAAACGACAAAACCGGCGTTAAATAGCCGATTAACACCGTTAAGACCGATATTATTACAATTCTAATGCCTAAGTCACACATTCAGGATTTTTACTGCCGTCCTTGATAGGACCATTCCCGATTAAAATGTGTCAAAAGTCTGATCAAGATCCTGTGATTCGTGGCTGGAAATTCAAACTTTTATTAAAATTTGTAAAAACATTTATTTAATCACGACAACAATCAGATATTGTTCAGGAGGCGTCCCGATCCAGCCGTTTCCAGCAGAATTTGTCCCGATTATCCCGTTTTCAATCCGATTCTGGTCCGATTTGTATCTTTGTCATGGTAAAAAACGACCGAATCTGTCCCGACAGCGCCCCGATTTTCCCGAATGCGATCCGACAGAGATCAGACAGTGACCAGACAATGAACCGACTCTGACGGAAGACATCCGTTAGAAAACCGTTTCACGTGTTCATGATAAAAATATATTGTGTTTTCAGAAAATATAATTTGTTTGTTATTGTATGAAATAATAAAGAAGTCCAAACTAGGAGTTTACCAATTCATAAATAAAATAAATTTCAATAAACATTAAACAATATTTTATTTGCTACAAAATAAGTAATGTCACAAGTTAAACTCCGCTATTTAAAAGCCATTGATGCATACAATATGTGACATATACAGTGTAACTTCTGAAAACCGAACACCTGTGGGACTAGCCAAAAAGTTCGTAATTTGGAAGTTTCCGGAATTCAGAAGTTCGGAATTATCTGAACAACTTGAAACATTAAACATCAATTGTTTAAGTAAGACATGTTGAAAAATATATGAAGATGATTAACTTCATAAAATGGCAAAATTATAGGGTTTTTACAAGTGTCTAACTTTTTTTAAATTCCATTGTCACCCATAACAGAATTGGATGATGCAATAGCTCAATGTTAATTATCACAATTTATCCTTTAGTACATTTCATGTAGTACCTGCCTGCTATTAACCTGTAATATTTTTTAATATCCATCACATTATACCACTTTCACACTTTAATCAAGTTTGACAGGTTGTGATTCTAAAAGGTGTCAAGATAAATGGTTACTGTTAATTGGAAGACATTGACATTTTTTAAAGTTTCACAAGTATAATAGTCTTTCACCCCTTTTTCAATTTCCGGATTTTGGAAGTAAATTTGAATTGATAAAACATAAAATTTAACTGAAAATCGTTCGGAATTCAGAATTTAGAAGTTCCGTAATTTAGAAGTATTATTTACATAGAAACGGAAGGAGAAATTTCGGGACTCTGAAAAATGTTCGGATTTCAGAAGTTTCAGGATTATAGAAGTTCCGGAATTCGGAAGTTACACTGTAATAGCATAGTGTTCTGTCATTTTATTATATGGTCTTCATTCACGGCGAGGGTTGATCATCCTCATCTGCCAAGATACTGATCCAGCGGCAGAGTTAAGATAATGTTTGAGATATTGCCTCTGCTTCTCGCCCTGTATTGTTGCACGGTTAGCACCCTGAACATTGACAACGTCAAGCATGTTTCGGCCCAATCTCCATTCTCCGGGTACGATCCTTGCGTCCTCGACATCTTAACGATCAACCTGGTTGATGTTTATGTTTGGGTAGCGTGTTCTCATTAAGTTGTGGAGACAGACAGAAGCCTGTACGATGATTCTCACATTGTCAGGAGTGTGTTGCATGGTTGACAACAGTATTTGAAATCTCTGAGCCAAGATGCCAAACGCATTTTCCATAACTCTGCGTGCTTTTGGCAGCCTGTAGTTAAAGATCCTTTCTTCTACTGTCTTGTTACGGAAAGGGAAAGGCTTCATCATGTCAGTTCTCAGTTGAAAGGCATTGTCAGCAACAAAGAAGTTGCTCAGGATCAGGAAGCCAATGGTCTTGTTTTGCAACACATCTTTCAGTTCACACTCGTTGTATATTTGTGCGTCTGAAGCTGCTCCATCTGGCCCAACATCAAGCCAAATAAATTTATTGTCCGCATCTACGAGGGCCATCAGGACTATGGAGAAGAAGCCCTCGTAGTTATGGTAGGTAGATCCGGTATTTGGTGTGCACTTGCACGCAACATGCTTTCCGTCCAATGCACCGCACACATGTGGGAAGTTCCATCTGCGGAGAAATTCATTTGCGATTTCCTTCCACTCCGCTGGGGTAGTGGGGCAGGCGATTACCTCTGCAGCGTACTCATCAATGATGGATTGGCAGACTTCAGGGACAAACATTGACATGGTGTTACTGGGAACCCTGAAGGCCCACTTTATGCTGCTGTAACTGTCGCCGGATGCCAGATGCTGCATGGTACAGTCCTGGATCAAGGGCTTGCCTCCACCAGGTATCTTGTTATCTTGTTTGGTGATGCTGGGTGTGATCCGAGCCAGGACTTCATCGTATAGTTCCATGGGCAGCCTCATGTAGTTGATGATAGCTTCTGGATCTTCTTCTCTCAGCTCCCTCATTAATGTGTCATACTGGCCGAGCTGCTCCCTTCTGTATATCCAGGGCTTGACCCAGTATCTTCTATTTCTACCGGGTCGCAGTGCCCTTCTGTTCAAATAATGATTGGCAAACAGAAGGTCTTTTTCTTCTTCTTCCATTTCCATGAGAGCAACCTGCTGCAGAAGTCTCCGTCTACGAGCAGCATTCATGGTGGACCGGTCATAGTACTGTCAATGAATGACACACACACACACACACGCACGCACGCACGCACGCACACACACACACATACACACACACACACACACACACGTTATACTCCATACGTGATCAGCTCAGCGAATCTGGAAATCCATGTATCTGGAATCCTACAACTGCCATATTCGGGATGATCGGGACACTGCCGGAACGCAATCCTATTACAGTCTGCTGTACCGCATTGCACACGCCTTTGTCTTGACTCAGTCGTATCGTGTTCTGTAATTGTCGTGACTCTGACGTGGGTATTATTGCCGAATTTCGTATTTATTACAGAACTGTTCCAGAACAGATTCGGCAAAGACGGTTCGCATTCGACAAAATCTGGACTCAATCGGCAGGAAACGGCAATGCAAAATTTCTCCAGATCATGCCCGTTCCACAGGACACTGACCAGACAACACAGGACATTGTTACGATTTTGATCCGATACAGCAGAATCTGTCACGACATAGTCACGATTGTAATCAGACTACACAAAATCGGCTGGGTTTCCCGAATGTTACGGGACGCACCTAACTGTCGGGAGTGCTTGGCCGACCTCTCCGGACCATTCCCGATCCGTAGGACTCTGTTACGAACATATACGACTGCGTTCAGACAATGATAGGACATTCCAGATCATTGAGGATAGTAATCCGACTTTTTCGCTTTTCGTGTCGTAGCACTGTCTGATCTCAAACGGGAGCCATAATCGGCACTGTGTGAACGCCGCATAACACGATAAAATAAGAACGATCACTAATGTTATTTTTTTCAAGCAGAAATAACTTCGGTTTTCGTATAACACTGTTCGATTTTTGCACCCTACTGTTGCTAAGATATAGAAATTATTAAACAAAAGAAATAATAATAGAGTCCAAAATCCATACTCACACCACCATTTTTTTTGACATTTTGACAGACTTTGTTACAACAATTACAAAAAGGATTTGATATGGATTTTGGACTCTCAAAAATGAAAACGATATGAGCCGCGTCTTGACAAAACCAACATAATGGTCAAATGCTGTTCGCTTACAAACCCTATTACAAGTAGAGAAACTGATAGCGAACAGCATGGATCCTGATCAGACTGACTGCGCGGATGCGCAGGATGGTCTGGATCCATGCTGGTCGCAAACCCATTATGTTGCTTTTGTCGTGAAGCGGCTCATATCATTATGGGTGTGATATGTATTTGATATTAACCATTCAGACTAAAACTTTTGGACACAAAGCTAAATTGATAAGTGTTTCTATTAGAAAATAGCACAAATGCCGAAAGTACATTGGTTATATTTTTCAACATGTGAAATAAAGAATAATTCTCAACCT